GTAGTGGTAGTAGCAGCAGGAGTAGTAGCAAGAGTAGTAGCAATAGTAGTAGTGGTAGTAGTAGTAGTAGTAGTAGTAGTAGTGGTAGTAGTGGTAGTGGTAGAAGTGGTGGTAGAAGTACTAGCACTAGTACTCGTACTAGTAGTAGGACTAGGACTAGTACTAATACTGTCGGCGTCAGCTCGTCCAGGCATCCTCCTCCTTGTGATACATTTGCAGCACTGCTGCTTCTTGTCCCGGTGCAAGTTTCCCCCGTAGAAGGCGGAGATAGGTGAGTTCAAGGTATGACATCGTGAAGGCGGTCTTAGAAGTGACGAAGAACTCTCCGGTCTTCTTCATGTCCCCGACGACATCGTGTTGATGATCCGCCCTCCAGCGTCACCAAATTATGCCGCACAGTGCGGCGGCAATCGATCACTCTTGGAGACGGTTGATACGTCTGTCACAAACTCACTTCCAATCAAAATTGCACCGACAATCTTTTCCTTTCTGATGAAGAGATTTTTTCTGCAGACGGGGCAGAGATCATGGGGGAACATAGAGTCATAGAGGACATACGGCCATCCTTCTTCGCCGGGACGTCCTTCTTCACCGATGCACTGGGCTTCTTGAGGGCGGACGGTCGCTTCATCGGAGGAAAGCGACCGAAGAGGATACTGCGGGCAGGAGGCTGTGTGCGGACAGGCTACCCCGGGAACAAAGAATCAAGACGGGCCAGAAGGTTTCGGAGAGAAATCTTGGTTCCAGGGGCCCTGAAAAGACAAAAGAACTTTGATTTAATTTTTGGGCAGGTCTTGGTTCCTGGAATCAGAAAATTGAAAAATAATTGTTTATTATTTTTGTGTCTCTCAAAGTCAATGCGCTAACAACGCAGACTGTTGTTTCTCATCCCCTGGAACCGTTATGCAATAAGCGAACGCTGTGGAAACCTATCAAAACACGGGTTCCCACAGCGTCCTCTTCTCTAAAGTAGAACAACAGTAGTAGTAGTAGTAGTAGTAGTAGTAGTAGTAGCAGCAGCAGCAGTAGTAGTAGTAGTAGTCGTCGTCGTCGTCGTAGACGTAGTAGTAGAAGAAGAAATAGTAGTAGTCGTCGTAGTAGTAGTAGTAGTAATAATAATGATAATAGTAATAGTAATAGTAACAGTAACAGTAATAGTAACGGTAATAGTAATAGTAATCGTAATAATAACAGGAATAGAAATAATAGTAATAGTAATGATAATAATGATAACCATAATAAAAATAGTAGTGGTAATAGTAGTAGTGGTAATAGCAGTAGTTGTGGTAACAGTAAAAATGATTATAATGGTAATAATGGTAATGGTCATAGAAAAAGTAATGCTTGTTGTAGCAGTAACGATACCAGTAACCGTTTCAGTAAGAGAAGTAATGACAGTAACAGCAAATCCCAACAGCACTAACAATAGCCAGAGCGACAGCACGAGCAACAGCAATAGCAATAGCAATAGCAATGGCAATAGTGCTAGTACTGGTACTAGAACTAGTAGTAGCATTTGTAATAGTAACAGTCATTGGTCACAGCAATAGTAATGGCAATTGTAATAATACTAGTTGTTGTAAGCGTACTAAGAGTAATAGTTATAGTGACAGTAACAGCAATAGCAATAGCCATGACAATAGCCGTAGCGATAGCTCGATGAACAGCAGTAGCAATAGCAATAGTGCAAGTAGTGCTAGCACTCGTGCTAGAACTAGTAATAGTAGTGGTAATACCAAAAGTCAAGAGTCATAGTAATAGCAATCGAAATAGTTGTTGTAACAGTAACAGTAAGAGTAAATAGTAACAGTGACAATAACAGCAATAGCAACAGCAGTAGCGATAGCAATAGCCAGAGCTATAGCACGAGCAACAGCAATATCAAGAGACTAAAGGAGAGGGACCCCCTGGGTTATGTAAGGGCTTTCTGAGACAATATAAGGGTTATATAGGGTATTAGGATTCGGGGTCCCTTCTAGGGATCCCTCCTATTGTCCCTTAACAATAGCAACCAAGACTCCGAAAAGTTGCCCCTGAATATCCCCGCGATGCGCGCCAAGCGGCTGCGTCATCTGACCTTGGTGCAGCTGTGCATGTTACTGTGCCAAAATACTTACCAAGGAAAGACAGGTACCAAGCTCTCTTCGTGACCCACAGTTTCACTGCAAGGGCTAACAACCTCAAGAGTCATGTAGCTGCAGTATACATTGCTTCTTCTTTTTCAATGCACCGTGGTGTACACATCATTTCTGTAACTGCAAGCTTTCGACCGCTTCGGAAACGTCTTATGTGGTAAAGGCAGGCCTTCGCATGCGTCGGCGGGTAGTACAGTATAGCCATCGTGTTCCATGGCTTAGCGTTTTTGCTACGTGTCACAACAGTCATTGCTTCACATCAGGATTGTCTGGAGCCAGACGAGACAGGGAAACCGAATGCTCAAACCACCCCAGAAGCAATCGGGAAAGCAAACCCGAATTAGACCAAGGCATCGCTGAACCGCTGATCCAGGTGCTGGCATCATTCGTCAGGCGGGATGTCAGCTGACCAGTGTGCATAGTATCGAAGAAAGAGATATCCATGCGAACCACACTTGCGAAGAGCTTCAAACGAACGGAACAGGCCATGCGCCTCTGCACCAATTCTTGTGCAAGAGCTTTCAAGCCACTGAAGCATCCCTGCAAAACGTTGATGATGACATAGGTGAGCATGGCATACTCAAACTTTGATCTTCCATTCTCGGGGTTCTTCAGATATGCAAGGATACCATCGAAGATCGACCCTTGCACATTCGGAGCAAAGATTTGCAATCCCTGCGTGACGACCAAACAGGTGACGGCTGCCACCAGCGTAGGCCAAAATTCCATGGAGAGCTGCCTTTCAGCGCATTGACAGGTGCTGGGTATGCTCAACATGCACTGTAAGTCCAGGGACAAGCGACACTATGCGCTTGAAGTATGTCCATGTCGTGATTTGCTCTCCATCTCGGCGCACTGAACGTGCACCAAATCCTTTTGCGCTGTGCTTGTCTTTCCTCATCGTCAGATGGCAGCTCAATACAAATCAACTTCACAAATCAGCTGGACGGTTGAATGGTGGCTAACTGCAAGCATGCGTCTGTTTGTAACACCGTGGACAGAGGTCGAAGTCGCACGTTCTGCATCTGTATGCGATGTAATGCGGACCCTGGCGCGGGCAAATAAACGTGCCGCGTTTTAACCGGTCGTTCACATCAGCCAAAACTCCCAGCCTTCATTTGGTCACCGCAGACGTCACATCCATGGCACTTCAGACCCGTCTCGAAGAAGAGCGGGTGCATGTGGATATGCGGGATGAGCCTGAACACAGACTGGTTGCAGATTGCTATGTCGGCAGGATCGACAGCTGGGGCGCAGGCTCCCCTTGTTCCTCGGTAAATTTGTTGAGCAGGTTTTTCAGCATGAAGTACTCCTCGGCTCGCTGCAAGCATGTAAGACAAGCAAGCTTGAGGAACGTAAACCACGACACGAAAAATTCAAACTGATTAACAAGCAACACGGCCTGCTTGTACTTACAATACCTACAGAATGTAGAATGGTGGGTGGAAACCAGATGAAACCAGAGAGACACGCCTGCAGCTTGTGGGTCTGCGGCCACGACGCTACATTGATCATGACCATAGTCAAAGCTTGCAGCGTGCCCTGCAAGGCCAAGAACCGCGGGTCGTAGTGGTACACGATGCATTTGATACCATTGTAGAATGACATGCCTGTCGCAGCGCAGGGAGCAGCCATAGAATTCAACGTTACTTCTGGCAAGCAAAAATGAAGTCCTCTTGGTCATGTAGATTGGGTATCCGTGGTTCATTGCTGTCAATGAAAATCCAAATTGTCAATCGCCCAATATTACTCACTTAATTCCGTGTCAGCCCAGAACTGGAGCTGGGGGAATAGACAGGTGACAGGCAGGCAAGTTTCAATGCAGGACACTGGGTATCTCGAGACACAAAGTACCTTCGATTCCAATCCTTCTCTCCCAACATTGGCTTTGCAAAGAAGGCAAGCAAGAGCTTGGCAGCCACACTTTTGGGGAGCTCTAGAAACTGCAGGCTGAGAGAACTGAAGCAGGTGCCTGTGCTGATTGCAAAAAGCACTAGCATGATGATCTCCTTCCTGCGATCTGCCCGCTTCATAAGCAGCGCATGGTCGCGGTTCATCTCGAAAGCACTCTTCTCCTGTGCATGGCAGCGTGGAGGCAGGATGAGTGATTAGTTGTCCTGCTGAGCACTGCAACTTCTTCAACATCCGGGCTGCCCACACAGCTGGAGGTGGAGACAATAGAAGATCCGGCAGAGCCTAGCAACGATCAAAGCGCCCTGGTCTCCCCCACTCCTCGACACTTTCCGGGCACTCTGCACGAGTGCACTCTTGAGCGCTGGGCCATTCACAGCCTGCATGGGCACCTTGCCCCAGCAAACACCGGCATTTGGAGACGAGTCGAGAGGAAGGCAGGGCACTGGACAACCCAAAGTCCAGCCTCTGCTAAAGGCACTCGTAGATCACCGTTTGTCCCGTTGCTCACAACTTCTCGTGCAGATTCCTTGGCCGAAATTTGGGCTCACATACACCGAGCTCGACTCGCGACTCGCTCTTGCCTGGGCCTGCCGAAACTGCTGAAGCGGGGAGCTGGCCTGCGCTGCCCAGCGTCGCGCCAACCGTGCAAGCATCCCACACGCCTCCGTGCGCTTGTAGACCAGGAAGGAAAGCCCGGCCATCAAGGGAAACACCTTCAAAAACATGCATCGCTAAGTCGCATGGCTTGAACGCGAGCTGGGAGCTCCCGGCGAAAATTCGGACGAGGCAGCACGTCAAGATGTCCGACGTCACCTGGCTCCGGCTCCCACCACTACGTCTGTTGTCACATAGCAGCATAGCCGGGCATCGTCAAACCCCCAAGGCTTGAGCCGACTCGTACTCATCCACATTCGCATCCTTTTTGCTGTGGGTGCCGACATAGTAGATGCTCCCAGCAACGACAACGTCCACCACAAAGGCCTCAAGGTTCAATGCATTCCAGGACGGTTGTGCGACATTTGGAGTGCGAAGCGTGCGTGCATGTGCAGGCACGCCCCGTGATCCCGCGAAGTCCTATCTCTAGCAAGGCACGGCTCCGGTGGCGACTGAGAGCGCCCGGCGGGAGAGTTGCATGTGTCCTTGGTGAAAACTTCCGCATGGAACCACAGATGCACCTCTGCTCGCTGGACGGGCTGGGCTCCCCAACCAATATAGAAGCACTGATCTGGTGTATCTTCGAAATATGAGAGGAAGCAGCTTTGGAATGCAAGGCCAGCTTACTATTATGTCGCAGACGGCAGGCATCAACCACGATTCTCACTTTTCCGCGTGGGGACTCAACACCATTTTGAGAGTTCATTTCAAACAGCATGTGATCCAATTGCAAGAGCATCTTTCTCAAGCAATATGCCACACTCCTCCGAAGGTAAGTGCTGCAGTACTGCCTTGAGCATACACGCAGCAGCCTTTCGACGAGTCGCATAAGACTCTTGGAGTCTGCTAATTAAGGATTCAATCTTCCACAGAGGCCGGCACGTCTGGAGGAATTTCAAGCATAGTATACTGTTTTCGAACTTTTTGCATATGTCTGCTGTTAACAGCAGAGAAGGGTCGCATGGACATCGACCCTTTCTTGGCAGACTGCTTTTTTGTGACGTGTGGTAAGTCTTGGATTGTGGGTTGTCTCGAGCCATCTAGACTGCTTTCATCAGAGTCCATAGAAACATCTGACGAATTCCACGCGAGCCTTGCTTTTGGATCTCGAATGCAGCCTGTCGTAGCCACGCGTTGCAGGCTTGAGACGCTTGCTAGGGAACTCCGGCGTCGTCGGACATCCAGCAGATCGTCTGGCTCCTCCTTCTCCCACCATGTCAACTGAAGCCCAGGCCCACTTTGCCACTTAGTCAAGGAAGCAATCAGCGCAAGCCTGAGGTCCTTTCCGCACACTCAGACTCTAACATATTCTCTGCCTCCGCACAAACACAGCGCAAGCAGCCAGGGCAAAAGGGTTGGTCCTCCGCGTGAGCCTGGGCTGGCTTGGACAGGGCTCGCTCCACGCCTCGGTCCCGCAGACGCCTGCGGGACTGGGCCAGCGCCTGACTGCGAAGCTCCAGTCGAGCGAAGGAGCTTCGCAAAGAAGTCACCGCGTCCAGCAACGCTGCTGGCGATCTCGCTTCACTCATGGCACGGACGTGCAGTGGCTCCTCCTTAAAGGGCACCGCTTCTCAACTGCCTAAAAGCTGGCCAAGCCTTGAAAGGGAGCGGGGCAGATCGGGGCAGAGCATGTGCGAAAAGTGCAAATGAAAGCAATGCAAGCTGGGACCTCCCATCGCCCATTGCACTCGTCCATCTCAGCCTCTCCTTGCACAAACGTGGCATCCTTTCTGCTCCAGTCACTCTAGTCTCAGATATGTCATGGGCTGAGCTGGGCACCGCAGCAAGGCTGGCTGCAAGATTAACACATACTAACGTGAAGCATTTCGCTGTCTGGTGCCAAATTCTGATTCTTGCCTCGGCCAGCCTAACACATGATCAGTCCCCATCTGGTCTTGCTGACGTCTCTGATTACCTTTGTGGCTAGTGTGACACAGGGCTTCCACGACCCAGGCTCCATGATCCGCGTGATCCGCTTGACAGTGGAAACATCACTTGAGCCAATCAACCACCTGGCGCAAAATGTACACGAAGCATGATTACCCGATTATGCAAGGTGAAGGCGACAAAGAGATCAGCACAGATGTGTCTCATTTCAGGCTCGTCACTTGCATGCAGTCACGTCTGGGTGCTCGGTCGAGAAGCCAGAGACGCACAGAGCTCCTGTTCGCCTGCTGAAGAAGCAGCAGAACCTGTTGTTGCTATGAGGGCAAACATCCCCGAAATTGCGGCAGCAAACTGCACTTCGAGCCTTGGCGGCGAGAATGCCAGAAGTGCCTTTTCTGGCAACCTGACCACACACCTCCACAGATGGCCACGAAGTGCAGCTCTGTGCAAGCAGCTCCGGCCTGCTCCAGGACCATCCTCACTTGGGCAAAGCATACGCACTTTGGTATGCCTCAGCACGGCAGCGCAGCGCAGTGAAGGGAGAAGGGTTTCAGTTTCTTGCATCGAAGGTTGACCTGTCTCGCATCAACTCTTTCTGCAGTCGCACGCAGAAAGCAGACGCCGCACATGCAGTGCTGACAGGCCAGGGAACCTTTCAATTACGGCCGTGCAGGCAGCATTCAGGACCCAGGGTTCCCCATCCATCTGGAAGTGCTGTCCTGCAGCCAAGTTTAAGGCTCTGTGCGAAGAGAATGCAAGATTCAGCGCATGCAACTTAGCAACGTGTCCTTTCTTCAGGCGCATTTCCACTCGGTGTGGCTGAAAGGCGATATCCACATTGCCACATGGGGCCTTCAGGACTTTCTTGCTCAGGGTCATGCCAATTACCTCGGAGGCTGATAAGGGGAATTGCAAGCCCATGGGGCACACAAGCAGGCGAGGGACTCCGTAGGGACCTTGTCTGGTGAAAACCTCCAGCCTCCCATCATTCGGGCTTACCTGGTCCGCAGATCAAAAACTGAAGACAAACACTTTTCTCAACTGCAAGTGCAAGACATCTACCTCCCGCCCTCCGCTGCCTGTCTTCGCACGGCCTCGCTGCCGTACAGTAGCATGCCTGCACCTGGTTAAACGAAGAACATCGATAACACCCACGCTGCTTCTTGAATCGGATTTCGGAAACCCCACTCTGCTTGCATCCGAGCATCCATAGGAATTCAAGTTTGTGAGAGTGAATTGACGGATGGAGCTCGGAAACGTAACCGTTCCCGGGTCATCATCAAATCTGACTTCAAGATCGTCGTTGAGAGCACGCGTACGACAGCACAAGCATCTCGCGCAGTTCGGCCCATTGAGTGCATAACATAGCAGACCGCCATGAAGAAATCGGCACGGTGGGAAGCAGCGCATCCGAAAGCAACACTTACCGAAACCAGACGACCGCACTCTCCCAACTTCGTAAGCAGTGTGGGCGTCCATCCCAACCGAGAAGTAATTAGTAAAGTATCCAATGAACTCCACGGTCCCACGTTGACGAAGAGA